ATTCACTGTCACACTGCCTTTGTCCAGTTTGCCTCACTTACAGCATTGGTGTGTTCTGGCTGCTTTTTGTGCTCTAAATACTGGTTCTTCAATTTTCCACAGCCAACTCTTGCAGAAAGGACTGCTTCTGGTAGTCCACTGACAAACCCTGATATCATTTCCAGCCAACCAGAAAGGACTGCTTCTGGTAGTCCACTAACAAACCCTAATATCATTGGAAAACCTAAACTGATGCCACCTTAGCTCTAGTTCTCCTAGGTTCTGGAAAACAAATTGCTTTGATGGAAAAAAATCACTCTGGCCCAAAATCTATAAAGGGAAAGTAACTCCTTCCAATTTACAGCATGAGAATGTAAGAAACTTTCAGAGTAGAAAGGACTGCTTCTGGTAGTCCACTAACAAACCCTAATATCATTGGAAAACCTAAACTGATGCCACCTTAGCTCTAGTTCTCCTAGGTTCTGGAAAACAAATTGCTTTGATGGAAAAAAATCACTCTGGCCCAAAATCTATAAAGGGAAAGTAACTCCTTCCAATTTACAGCATGAGAATGTAAGAAACTTTCAGAGTTACTTCAGGAGCCACTCTCTAGAACATAAATACTTGTTAAGGGCTCACAGCAATTACAGCTCTGCAATGATTTTAGATCTCAAGTCAAATACTTATGAGAAAGGGAATTATTAGTCTTTCAAGATTTTGTGTCATGCAGATCAGGTTATCAACTTATTTAATTACATTTCACAACAGAGAAGAGTTTGCTACAAAGAGAAAAAGCCTTCCTAGCATGAGCTAGAGCTTTTTTTTTTTAACTTGGCTAAAAACATCCCAGTCAAAAAGAATAAAAGAGAAGAAAAATACACTTGTGCATAGAGTTGTGAGGGGCGAGATGGATTTGGACACTTGATGGACTAACAGCAGATGATGGACAGAGACATCACTTCCTGACAGAGAAAGAAATGAAAACTAAACATGAAGATACACTGGCACTTTATCCAGTCAAGAAATAATCTATGTTTATGATCCAAAGCAGCTTTACTTTATTACCACCCCACTCAGCAAATCATTCTCAGATCAGACACCTCAAATATTCACAAGTTGCCTTAGAGTGTTCTTGGACTGAAAACCCACAACTACTCCAAGTGGAAAGCCAAAGAGTGCTGAACAGTAAATAACCTTAAAGGCTTTTTAGAGACACTAAGACAGCAACAAAAAGTCACTTAATCACCTGTAGAATCCTAATGACTTCAGTGAGACTACGCAGCAAGTTCCAGTGTTCTGATGGATGAGGTTGTTGGCCTCCCATTCATCCAGTCACAAAAACAATATCCCAACACACTTCAATCGATGGAATGAATTAATAGACCTGAAAGAGATGTGGAATTCCTCCCTCCCATGGCTATTGTGGTGCCTTAATGCTGGCAAAGCCCTTTATGAAGCCATGCAAGTTACTCCCCTTGCATTGGTTTTGGGGATTAAGTTTAATGATGCTACACTTCTGCATCTGATTACATCCCTTCAAACAGCCAATGCAGCTCTCAGGTTACCAGCCCCATCTCCAACACTCAGGCACATGGTTAACTTTCCACTGTGAGTTTCAAGTTAAACATGTTCAGCATTCCAAGAGCAGGTCTGAAAGGACACCCTGCTTCTCCTCCCTAAGCAAATGGAGGCTGTCTCCAGCTGAATGAATTTTAGGGGTTCTACCTCTTTCCTCTCCACATCTGTATCATATTTTTCCAAGTTTTTATTTACCTCCCAGTCTCAGCTGCTATTTTATTTGTCCTGATGACAGATACCTCTTCTTCCACCATCTCAAAACATCATCTGTTGCTTCCTGTGACAAAGCATCTCTACTTTAATACTGACCTGACTGATCACCAGGATTGTCTCCCACCACTGCTGGGCAGGTATGAAGTTTTAGCAATGCAACAAAACAGAGGTCAACACCTGCTGGCTGCATTTCTGTTCCTTTTGGTCAGCATTTGCCTTTCTTTACCTTTACATCACAGGCATTTTGGGGATAAAAGTTCTTACCAAAAATTCAGTGTTTCCTACTCTGCGCACACCAGTCATAGGACATTGGAGAAGTTTTTCTTATTACAATTTATATACTGAACTTTATTTATATACTGAATTACATATATTCTCTCATTTTTAGAATGAGCTGACTTACCACACTGCTACTTTCAGCAGCTAATGACCAAGGTGTGTTACGACACATCAAGGTATCTGCATTAAACACACTACACAAGACAGAAGGCAGATGAAATGATAAGCACTTAATCTGCCAACTGCTGCTTCCTCTTCCCCTTTTTCTTAACAGCTATGTAAAACACAACATGAGTTAGCTAACTTGGACAAGATGCAAGGGTGAAGTCACCTGAGGCACAAGCTGAACCAAATACTAATTACCAGTACAAGAAGATCTCACTGTAGTTTTGCAGCTGTTCTATTTGCCCTGATGTCAAACTGTGCAACTCTTGCACCTTTGCCTGGGTTTTGAGGTTCCCATGAGAGACAGCATGAAGTGAGGCCTACACCCACAGCTCAGGAGTGGAAATTAGGGGAGACCCAGCCTGACTCTGAAATAAATGTTTCATTAGAGACTGGACAAGTGTCTCAGCTGTAAATATGAAGGATTCATTTGTATGAGTTCTGTCACCTGCCAACATGTGAGCACTTTTCTTCTTTACTCTCAAGCATCTAAAGCTGACACTAACTTTGAACAGACTTCTGTATACTCAGAAAGTTTTGGAAGTCAGGTTTAGGCACAGGAAACACCTGTCATTTATGCAATTATCTTCTTCTACATGCAGAATGAAGTCTCCCTGCTTACTTTCCAAATTACAGATTTCTCTCAGACACTGAGCACTTTGTGAGTGACACATCATCACCTGAATGCAAATACAACTCTGGTCACACAGGACAGGCCTCCAATTCCAACTGAACCTGAAACCCTGGACTTCAGTTTCCAAGATCCTGAATAATCACAATCCATGGCTGACCCAAAATTTCAGGGCCAGAGACTGACACGAGGCAGACTGCACTGAAGCTGAAAAGCTGTAATCATTCAGAGCTTAAGTAATCCATTTATTAAAACCTTGCACGTGTACCATGTACAATCATAGCTGATTACAGCTATATCATCTGCTGCCAATTCAACACCACAGATGTGCAGCACAGGCCACAGGGTTCGAGTGAGCAAAGGCAGCTGCCACTCAAGTGCTGACAGAGCACAACCAGTGTCACATCTCTTCCATCTGCTCCGACCTGCAAACCAACACAACACTGACACTCCACGAGGAGCATCACCAGGGACACCCTGCAAGGAGCATCACTGGAGACACTCCATGAGGAGCATCACTAGGGACACTCCGTGGAAAACGTCACCAGAGACACTCTATGGAAAGCATCACCAGGATCACTGTGTGAGAAGCATCCACTCTGTGGGAAGTGTCACCAGAGACACTCCATGGAAAGCATCACCAGGGACACTCTGTGGAAAGTATCACCAGGGTCACTCTGTGAGAAGAATCACCAGGGACACTATGTGGAAAGTATCACCAGGGACACTCCGTAAGAAGCATCACTGGAGACACTCTGTGGGAAGCACCACTAGAGACATGCTGCAAAAAGCATCACCAGAGCCATGCTGTGAGGACCATCACCAGGGCCACTCTGTGAGAAGCATCATTAGGGACACTCCATGGAAAGCATCACCAGGGCCATTCTGTGAGGAACACAACCAGGACCACTCTGTGAGAAGCATCACTAAGGACCCTCCGTGGAAAGCAACACTAGGGACCCTCCATGGAAAGCATCAGTAGAGACACCGCGTGGAAAGCGTCCCCAAGGACCCTCTGTGAGAAGCATCACTGGAGACACTCCATGGAAAGCATCACTAGAGACACAGCATGGAAAGCATCCCCAGGGACCCTCCGTGAGCAGCATCCCTAGGGACACTGTGAGAAGCATGACTAGGGACAAGCTATCAGAAGCATCACCAGGGCCACTCTGTAAGGAGCATCACCAGAGACCCTCCATGGAAAGCATCCCCAGGGACCCTCTGTAAGAAGCATCCCCAGGGACACTGCGAGAAGCATCACAAGGGACACACCACCAGAAGCATCACCAGGGTCACTCTGTGAGAAGCATCCCCAGGGCCACTCTGTAAGGAACATCCCCAGGGCCACTCTGTGAGAAGCATCACTAGGGACCCTCCGTGGAAGGTATCACTAGAGACACTGCATGGGAAGCATCCCCAGGGACCCTCTGTAAGAAGCATCCCCAGGGACAATGCGAGAAGCATCACAAGGGACACAACACCAGAAGCATCACCAGGGACCCTCTGTGAGAAGCATCCCCAGGGACACTGCGAGAAGCATCACAAGGGACACAACACCAGAAGCATCACCAGGGACCCTCTGTGAGAAGCATCCCCAGGGACACTGCGAGAAGCATCACAAGGGACACAACACCAGAAGCATCACCAGGGACCCTCTGTGAGAAGCATCCCCAGGGACACTGCGAGAAGCATCACAAGGGACACAACACCAGAAGCATC